ATATATATATATATATATATATATATATATATATATATATATATATATATATATATATATATATATATATATATATATATATATATATGTATATATGTATATATGTATATATATATATATATATATATATATATATATATATATATATATATATATATATATATATATATATATATATATATATATATATATATATATATATATATATATATATATATTTATATACATATTCAAATATTTCATTGGGGGCTACTAATTTACCCTCCAAAAAGGTAATTTTTAGGCAATTGTTGGTTTGTCGCCAACACATCCTGTAGATAATGGAAAAATTGACCAAATTAAAAATGACAGCTCTGGACCTGTCGCGTTTCCGGCGCCAAAAACCAGAGAAAATCAATTAAAAAAAATATTTCACAAGATTCAGTACCAAGGATTTTATCGATTTTTTGAAAATAACCAGTTTTCAGTTCCAAGCGTGTTTTATTATTTACTAGATGAATTGATTTGCTACAAAATATGTATGTCTACTCACACTATCGTTTTCATTATTTAAGTGCCATAATAATCCTGTTATAGATAAAGCTTTTCAATGTAGACATTTCTTCCAGACGTGACCAAGTACTTGTATGATTAGTTTAATGATATTTAAAAAAAACACGTATAAATAAGTGTTAAGCTGGTACGTGCTAGTCATAACAGTGTTACATTCAGCAATGGGGTTCCTTGCAAACATTGTTGCAACCACATCGGTGTTGCTACTGATATCATCTTATTCGCGTGCGGTGACTGCAGATTCTTGTACCATCACGTCATTTGACGAAATCAGTAGCGTAGTAGCCAGTTGTAGTAACGTGGTATTTGGAAGTTTTACGATACCCTCGGGCAATAAATTGGCTATTAAATTCTTAGATGGAGCTTCTGTTACCTTCAGTGGTGAAGTCTTATTCGAACACTTCAATGGCGACGGTCCACTTTTAAGGTTGACAATTAACAATGGTGTTGTGACGGGAGATGATAGTAAGTATCGGAATTACCTTAACAAGCTTTGGGCTGATGTTGGCGACCGCTTTTCCAGATCACTTGTTCAATGGGCAAGGTGAGAGTTACTGGGGTTTAAACGGTACTAAACCCCTACTAATGCGTCTCGTTGCACAGAACACCAATTTCCAAGGATTCAAAATTAAGAATTGCCCCCAAAGATGTATTTCCATAAACGGCTCAAATAATACCGTCATATCAAACTTTACGATCGATAATCAAGATGGAGTTGGTGTAAGTCTACTATAGCAAATTTGCTTCTCTAGTAGTTGAATAATAATTCGTATTCGGACAGAAAGCAAAGAATACCGATGGATTTGATGTCAGTTCGTCTAGCGGAATTACAATTAAGGATACCATAGTGACGAATCAAGATGATTGTGTGGCTATTAACTCGGGTTCGGATATTTTAGTGGACAATCTTCATTGTATCGGTAGCCATGGATTCGACATTTCTGTCGGGCAGGGTAGCGGAAATACCAACTTTGTTACAAACGTCACGTTCCAGAATTCCATATTGACTGGAGGTCTGGTCGGGCTTAGTATGCTCTCGCATATTGAGGGCGGAACTGGAGAAGTAAACTCTATTAATTACACCAACATCCATATCGAAGGTACTTTAAATTGTATATATCTACCGATTAGCGGTTTTGCCGATTGTTTTTTAAACACGTGTTTTTGCACTTGTTATCGGTAAGTTAAAGATTAGATCTGTTTGCGCAATCTGAGAAGTTCAATAACTTTTAGGTAGTTTTCGTTCTGCATGACATAACAACAATTTTCCTTTAGGGTCTACTGACTACGCTGTTTTCTTCCATCAAGATTTTTCCAGCGCGATCCAGGGTAACACCGGTGTCCCGGTGGGCACCGTTGTGTTTTCTGACATAACTTTTAATAATGTTACTGGCTTTGTGGATGATACTACGGATGCAGCCGCAGTGTGTTTAAGGTGTGCTTCCGGATTCTGCAAAAATTTCAACTTCAATGGGTTACAGATCAGCGGCGCCACAAAGAAAGACGAATGCAGCATCGAACCAATAGGATATAAATGCAATACTTAATCATATTGATTGCCATTTTTTGAGGTAAAATACATCTTTTTTCAATTCTTCAGTTTTTTTGTGAAATAAGCTCCAAAAATAAGATGCTGTTGTTATGGAATGAAATCTTCTTTGTAAGATATAACAATTAGTTATAATTATAGTAAGTTTTGGTTACTTTCAGAATGTCATTTTTTTAAAAAGATTCAAGCGTCAATCAAGTAGAAATGATTTATCTGGGAAGTTAAAAACTCATGTCAAGCTAAATTTAAACCATCATGTATGTGTGAAGTAAGGATGGATTTATACAAAGTTGCCTGTTCGATATCGAGACAAATAATAAAAGCCAGTACAATATTTTCACCAAAATATTGTATTGTCTAAATTCTTTGCTAAGTACATATAAAAAATATGGTTTTATTAAGCCTTATAAAATATCAATTTTTTGTTTACAGATATTTGAAAAATGTGTATATGTATATGTATATCCAAATAAAACATAACTTGGATATTATGGGACTACTTTTTTATAAGAACTTTAATGACTTGATATTTGGATACCTATTTGAACGTCACTGGGTGATTTCGAATCACATTCAAGTTTTTTTATAGAATTCAGTGGCGTACTTAACAGAATTTGTAGTCTACATTCAACTGCTGTTTTAAAGATAGCGTCCTTTTTTTATGCCATTTACTACATTTTCATTTGCGAAGTATAAATACAACAAAAACAAGTTTGCAAAACGTATTATGTCTTCATAAGCATATCTACCAAAAACCGTTTTTACATTTTTATAGCACAAGTGACTGTCCCGATACAGAAATGCACTCCAAAAACTAGTGTATATTTTCACCTTTTGTAACCAAAATCTCCACACGGCACCATTTTGATTTATTACGAATTTATTTATATTTAGCATGACAATTAAAATGAGATTTTATTGAATGATAGATAGCATCAGAAAAACACTTGATGAACTTAATAACATAAAACAATGGATTCGTTAAATAAATGCGCTTTTAATGGTTATCGACAGGCGAACGCTATGAGTTGGAACTTCATTTATATTTACTATTTACAAAACATCTGGATTTCTCCTGCGTCGGTTGTTTTTGAGTCGAACTTGCTAATGTTTCGCCAATCACCTTGTTGGTTTCTTCAGAACTTAACTTAAACCGGCTCGCATTTTACTCTGTACCTGCCTATATATTGTTTTAGGGGGGAGATGATGTTTATGCCCCTCATTTGGCTCCGACAGGTACAGAGTAAAATGCGAGCCAGTCTCAGTTAGGCTCTGAAGAAGCCAATAGGATAATTGGCGAAACAAAAATTCTTGCATGTAGTCGATTCTTTTACCAACGAAAAATCCGTGAATCTATAGAAATGTATAAGCAACTAAACAATCTTAACCGCGAATCTTAAAGCGAAGTCTTCCGAGACGATGTTAGCTCCGCCTCCCCAAACAATATATATGAAGGTACAGAGTAGAACTCGAGCCAGTTTCAGTTCTCAGCTCTGAAGAAGCTCCGAAGAAACCAGCAGGACGATTGGTGACACCTCAGCAAGTTTGACTCAACAACAACGGATACAGGAGGAATGCAGAAGTTTTGTAAATAGTATTACAGTAGTTTGAAAAATAAAATGATACTTTGTACAAGCTGAATTTGTTATAACTATCGATCGAAATCAACGGAACTAGGAGTGACCAACTTCCCGTCAGGTGTGGTGTTCCGCAAGGCTCTACCCTAGGCCCCCTACTTTTCGTTATACACATTAATGATCGCCCCTTGAACATCCCCCATCATGTTACGCTCTACGAAGACGATACAGCCCTCCTTATAAGGGGAAAGAATCCCATTCATCTGACGGAAGAGTGTGTCCGCGCAGAGTAAGTCGCGGAAACCTGGTTCAACTGCAACAATCTTGTTCTTAATAGCAGCAAAACTCAGCGTATGACCTTCTCTGGCAGTAGAGTCAGCCATCGGAATCAAGTCCGAATGAATCTATTGGGCGTCACACTGGATAGATCGTTGACATGGGATCACATATCGAATTCCTTTGTAAGTCACGGATCAACACCTCTGGCACATTGTCGCCCTATCTTCAAGAGGCTAAAAATCATGACACTTCCTAGTCTGTTCATTTACCCACGTCCCACGTCCATAAAAACATACATGCTTTTGAAAGACATTCTGACAGACATGCACACAACACCAGACAGGCAGACCTCATCGTACCATATTCCAGAATGACGACCTCGGCAAGAAATAAGCCTCGCACCGACTTGTACAATGTTCTTCCTCAACATATCAGAGACTTTCCACAGTATAAATTCTCTAGAGAAATTAGACTATTTCTTCTGGAGCATGCTTTTTACTCAATTACCTATCAATATTTACGATTTCTGTTAAATTTGAGATTCAATTGTTTTTACAGTTTATAATTCATGTATTGTAATTTTGTAGTGGTGTATGTCTATTGTATATTTTGTCATATTGCTTTCACGCATGGAATTTTTCTATTGTTTATAGGATTTATTTATCCACAGCCACAATTGGTTAGCGTTAATCTTTCTTTTTTCTTTTGTACTACTGACGCGCCATTTGTTTTAAGGACATTTTATGTAAATAATAATAAATAAATCTATCTGTCTATCTATCTATCGATAATGTAGTATTGTATTGAAATTTGTGAAGAGATGGTTCAGTGAAATTTGAAAGCAGCAGATAAGCTCAAGTGTGTTTTACACCTGGTTCCATGTATGGTTCTGGAAGTATATTAAGGCAATAAGATCAAGTAATTTGAAGTTTACTTTTGCTCTAATAGAGTACATCCTTTGTTTCTTTCTTTTATTTGTTTTATGTATATTTCTGATCGAGTTAGTGTCAATAATTAAAAAAAGTGAAGCTCGTTTCAGATCAACATTTTTCCAATTTTAATCGATTTTTTGACAATATTTAACTTGTAATAATGTTAAACCTGATAAACCTGCAACATATTTTTTTTTTGGTTTATGATACCGATATCGCAACTTTGAACAGATATTCATAATTTTAACAATGACTCGTGATTTGGAATTAAAAAAAAAACAACTTGAAAAATAAACCGATAACGAACGCAAAATCTCGACGAACAAAATAAATGCTCAATTTGTTTAGGCACATAGTGACAAAGACCAGTTCAATTGAGAATGGCTTTGGTAAACAACGCATTAAAATGCTTGGTAATCACGTTAGCCATGGCGTCATGCTCTATGGCTGATACTTGTACCATAAACTCTATCGATGAAGTCGATGACGTTCTAGCACGTTGTACGTCTGTAACTGTTGGCAGCTTTACAGTACCAGCAGGAGAGAGTCTCATATTGCAACCGCAAGATGGAGCCTACGTCACTTTTACGGGGGAGATCAAATTCGAACATTCTAATTGGGCTGGACCCCTTATGCAGATTTGGATTACAGATGGTGTCATAAAAGGCGACAGCAGTAAGATATTTTTGATTTTTACAAGAAGTCCCAAACGAGTTATATTGAAAACATTCAACAGATCATTTATTCCACGGGCTTGGAGAGTCATATTGGGGACAGGACGGTACTAAGCCGGTGGTTATGTATCTCCGAGGAGTGCACACCGCATTTTCCGGATTTAAAATAAAGAATTGTCCACAGAGATGTGTTGCCTTGGACAGCTCTAGGAATTCGGTCCTTTCCAATTTTGTTATTGATAACTCAGATGGCGTTGGCGTGAGTGAGCATCTAACGGTTCGACGCCCTCAGCAAACGGCATTTTTAGGTGGCGAAAAACACTGACGGTTTCGATGTTGCCAAGTCCAGTGGTATTACAATTAAAGATTCTGTGGTAACCAATCAAGATGACTGCGTCGCAATTAACACCGGTTCGGACATATTGGTAGATAACTTACATTGCATTGGCAGTCACGGGTTCGATATTGCTGCCGGGCAGGGTCACAGCAGCGGCAACACTGTCACCAACGTTACTTTCCAAAATTCCATAATGTCCGGCGGTATGGTCGGCCTTAGCATGTTGTCTGTCGTTGATGGTGGCACAGGGGAAATAAGCAATATTAAATATAACAATATCCGAATTGAAGGTACATTTTCATATTGGTGTATTTTTATTTCAGAATATCTGTTATATCTGAGAGTTCAATTTTGGATTAGGGTCTTCTTTAGAAAGAGTGCTTTAAGTTATTCTTCTTCTTCTTCTTCAAGTGCCGTCTTCGTTGCGAAGGTTGGCAATCATAAAGACTATGCAAGACACCGCCGACCGAAATAGCTGGTTTGTACTGCATCGAAACCAGTCAAGTAGATTTTTCATCCATGAGTGACGTCTTCTTTCTACGCTTCTTTTTCCATGAAGTTTCCCTTGGAGTATCAATAGTAGATGGCATGACATGCCCTAGATATTTCAGTTTGCTTTTTTTATTGTAAAAATAAGTTCTTTCGCTTTTCTTATTCTTCTCGTGATTTTCTTGTTCGTCACTCTATCGGCGCATTTTATCCTTAGCATTCTGCGTTACATCCACATCTTCAATACCCTAAGTTTTTTTAGTTTTACTATTTATAAGTGTGCCTAAGTGTTTACAACTGTCAACTTTTTCTATGTATTGATTGTTTATAAGAATTTGGTGGTTGTTTTGGGCTGTTCGCAATTTCATTGAAATAAAGATAGAGATGAGACTGATTGTTCGGAAGTCATTACATTGTCTTGCATTATGTTTTTTTGGAATAGGGGTGAACAATGATATCAACCATTCTCTGGGTATAATACCTGTCTTGTATCTGGTGTTATATACATCTGTTAGATTATGTTTTGCTCTCTTATAATTTCTTAATAATTTCAGTGGGTAACTCATCCGCCCTGCAGCTTTTCCATTTTTTATGGTCTTTATAGCATGGATGAACTCTTCTTTAGTTATTTCTAGTCCATTGTTGTCATGGTTAATTTCTATTCTGTTAATATCTCTATCATGATTGAAAAGTTCTATTACGTATTGCTTCCATGTTCTTAACTTTTTCTTCACGTCAATTTTACCATTCTAGTCAGTTAGTATTGTCGGTTGTCTCTTTTTATGTAATCCTACCTTCTTTAAGTTACATACTAGTATTTATACATTCTTATGCAATAATATTTGGTTTAATATACAAGCAGATAACATATTACATTGTAGGTCCGTCAGATTATGGGATAATGTTTCATCAGGACTTTTCTAACGCCGCACAGGGCTCGACGGGTACCCCAGTAGGTACAATCGTGTTCTCTGATATAACACTTAATGACATCACCGGCTATGTTGATGGCAAATATTCTGCCGGTGTATGTCTAAGATGTGCCGCAGGTTATTGCGTCAACTTCAACTTTAACAATGTCCAGATATCCGGGGGAAAATACAAGGACGAGTGTAGCATTCAGCCGAATGGATATACTTGTCATTAATTTTATTCTCCAAATTTAAATGATCAGGTGTTATTGTTAATTATCGCAACTAGTACAAAAATCTTATACCTGTTATTGAAAGTTGAATGTGCGCAAGAGAATGCACTCATTAAAATAAAAATTGTTTTCAATATATTGTTGTTGTTTTTGATAACGGTGCAACCTGATATTTTCGTAGTGATTTAGCTGCATTTGATTTAATTTAATATAGGCGTAATATGCGAAGTTAAATAAAACTAACTCAATTAATTTTTGAATGTTGAAATTTGACATTAAGCAATAACTAAACAGAACCGAATACTTATTTCGCTGAACAATAAAAATTTCATAAACAATAGGTCAATGAAAATTATTAAATATTTATATACCTAAAGGTTTGTGCCAAGTCGTTCCTTTCTCTGTTTAGTATTAACTTCAGCTTCAGCCTATTCAACAGGCTCAAATTTTTCAAATTGCAATGAAATTGGATAAATTGTTTCAGTGCGTTTTAACAACAAAAAGTGTTGCATTTCTCGAACACTTGCCTTTAATAGTATATGAGGCAACAAGTGCGGTAAACTGCAAGAAGAGAGACCTGCCTTTTTTTATGTTCGCCGTCAATTTTTAGGCACTTTATGAATAACTTTTCTGGTCTCCTTTGAATTTAACGTCAATGGAACCTAGAAACCGGATGGTATCAAGCCTTTCATGTTTCGTATTAGTGCTTATATTTGGTTTTTCATTCGGTTTAGTTACCATGAGATCATGCAAACACTTTTCTATTTCACCAGTAATGGAATTAAATGCAGCGCGGTTCTTCGCAGAGACATTACGTTAAAGCATCCCCAGTCTTGCCAATCTAACCACTTGACTTAATAAGCGCGGTGATTTATGTAAGAAGAGCTACTGCTGGTGGCAACGCCGCTTTATTACACGGCCGTCGCTGTCGCTGACAAAGGGAACTTATTTTATGGAAAACGCAATAAATTCTCCAATTGTTCAGTTTCTTTTTACTGCCTTAGACGCCCGCGAAACGACGATTCACTCAATTTTCCATGCGCGGGAGGAATTGAATAATATACGTACCTACCTGAGATAAGTTTGAGGTTTTTGCTTGTCGAGTTGGGGCGAGGTGATTTATTTTCCAGGCAGAACGAAGTTACTTCTTAGGTTCTTTTCGAAAATAGCGCGTGTGGTATAATTTTACGCCATCGAAAAGATACAATTTTGTTTGCTGATCTTGATTTCTTCTGATTTATGCTTTAATTTTTCAATATTATTAATTTCATTTATATAGAAACATATATAATGCTTAATTTATATTATATTTCTGCTGCTTAAAGATTATTCTTGGGTTTGGTATAGGCCGATAGCGGAGGTAAGAATAACCTTATAACAGATTATTTCATTTAAGATGTCATTCTGCAGATAACTGTTTATTCAATAATCACTTGACAAATCGAAAAATAATCGAAATCTAAACCATTAAATGCGATATTATTAGGCATGTACACAGCACAAAGCTCTCATCTCATCTGATCTGTAAAATATGCGAATGATAACTATATGCGTTTAAAATAATAAATAGCTTTATTGATTTAACCATCAATAACAACAAATTTACAAAATTATGTCCTGAATTAAGCTTGGTAGCAAAGGGCTAAGAAAGTCAGACAACTGGCACAGTGAGACACAAAGTTTAGCATAAATTTAATAGGTACAGGGAAACAGACAAGACATAGTAAGAGTAGGGAGGAATTAAGGTCAAGAAAGTATCTAAGTAAAGCTTTAATTAGGTAAAAATGCAATTTTGCAAGCATGTATTTGCTTACCCAAATTACTAATCTTATTTTTGAGGGCCCATAGCGCCAGACAAATGTATATTAGGAGCCATATTTATGATTTGCTCTCTCTTTTCATTGCTGTGGTACACAGAGATTCATATTTAGACATCTGTCCAAGATATAATTTTCTGTGCTGATAGAGCGGGGTAGGACTTTGAATGATTTTGCAATACTTAGAAGAACAGGGCGTGAATTTTTCAGAGAAACTTACTGCTGTTTACAAAACTTCTGGATTTTGCTTGGTCGAAATTGCTGACGTTTCGCCAATCATCCTGTTGGCTTTTTCAGAGCTTGACTGAAACTGGCTCCTATTTTACCTGCTTTTATATTGCTTGAGGGGGGCGCTAATGAGGGGTATAAACACCGTCTCGGATGACTGATTCCCAAATTGGTGATTGGTAGAGACCTGAGTCACGATTAAGATTGTTAGGTTGTTTATAGATTTCTATAGACTCTCGGATTTTTCGTCGGTAGAAGAACCGATTACATGCAAGAATTTTGGTTTTATCAATTAGAATTTTATGTCCGGTTTCATGAGTGTGTTCGGCAACAGCTTATTTGTCTTAGTCGTAAGGCTCTTTCGTGTTCTTTGAGTCCAGTTGATATTTTTCGTCCGATCTCTCCGATGTATTCTTTGCCGCATATGCATGGAATGCTGTAAACTCCTGGCGTCTCAAATGGAACATTTTCTTTGACAGACCGCAGATGTTGAGAGATTTTTGGACAAGTGGTAAATCTGGTTTTGATGTTATACTTCTTTAAAAACTTTTGATATATGGTCAGTGATATTTTGAACGTAAGGAAGGACAAGGAGTGGCAAGTGTAGGATTGCTTTCGGCCTCATTGCTATTGGAAGGTTGTTGTGAAGTGTATTTTTTGATGGAACGTTTAATATCTTTAATGTGGAAATTATTAGAGAGAAGAGAGAGAGAAGAGAGAAGATAGTTTTACTGCTCTGTAAACAAGAGACTTGATAACCGATGATTTTTGGGCCGGATGGTGATATGACCATGCATTAAGGTATCGGTCTGTGTGCGTAGGTTTTTTGTAATCACATTGACCCAATGTTAGGTCTGATTTTCTATTGATAAGAATATCTAAGAATGGCAGGTTATTATTAGCTTCCAAATCAATGGTAAAACGTATGTTAGGGTGTATCGAGTTTAGCGTTTCCATAATTTTGGTTTTAGATGAAAGGTGTCGAGAGCTTTCTTCTCAAAATCTTGCATATATATATTCGCGATGAATGGCGATAGTGGAGAACCCATAGCTGTTCCCGACGTTTGTTAAAAAAATTTGACCGTTATAAGAAAAATATGTTCCCGACAAGCATTTTTCAATTAAGGTGAGAAGGTTTGGTTCCAGATTCTCGGATTTTAATATATCTGAAATGAAGTCGAGAGTTTCAGGAATAGGAAATTTGGTAAAAAGAGGTATTCTACGTCGAAACTAACTAGAATATCTTGTTTATCTCCTTCCCTCAAGCAATATACAGTTACAGAGTAAAATACGAGCCAGTTCCAATCAACCGCTGAAGAAGCCAACAAGATGATTGGCGAAACGTCAGCAATTTCGACTAAGCAAAAACCAACGCAGGAGGAATCCAGAAGTTTTGTAAAAATTACAACAGGGCATGAAGCTTATATCGATTGAATATATGCAACTAGCCTGATTTAACTAGATATGGCAAAATATGATTACGATACTTCTCTATATTATCTACACAAGGCATGAATACGCTGTTCCAAATGTGACAGCACTGGAGTATCGCAAAGAAGTCTTTTAGTATCCTGTGAGAGACAGTGACGAGTTCAATAAGTTTTTTTTAGATTACTATATGCAATCCTTAATTTGCTTGTAATGTGCTCTCTAAATTTTAACCGAGAATCTAAGATAATTCCCAAACTTTTGCAACAGCTACAAGACAGAGAATTTTACGCTGCTTTTAATATTATCAGACTTCTAGAATCAAGTGAAATGTAGGCAGTAATTTTGTTATTATCATAAGCCTTAAAAATATCATTTAATCTATCTGCATCGTGTGCAAAATACCGAGAAATGCTCTCATTTGCTTTACAACTCTGTAGATTTTTTTAAATTTTGGCCAAAGGCGTGACTTGTGCTTGTTTCCACAGTACAGGAAAATATGGGGTCAAAATATATTTGCCTTATAAGGATTTCATTTCCTTGCGCATTTGAATGTTATGGAGTTGAACCTAACCAAGACGTGAAGTGTATCACCTCCTTCTAATTTAGAAATCCCTCAGTTTTTAGAGTGAAACAGTTGACGGATGGTGCGGCTAAAGTATTTTGGTTGATATTTTTAAACAACAACATTCTATACTAAATCCGCAAAAAATAGTCAATAACTATTTTGATAGTTTGTTCTAGCTGACACTGACGTTCTCTTTATAGATTTCAAAAGAAAATGTTTAAAGATAAAGCAAGCTTTATACTCTATTTGCGTATGAATAATAATCAGATAGATTGTAAATGCTGGTGTCATTTTGAACTTGATATTCTAAAAGCAAAAAAACGTGTCGGTAAACTGTTGTTTTGATTATTCACAAGCAACACTTCTCGATCAGATTGTAAATGAGATCGCAGATATCTGACTATATTGTGCTAGAAAATCAAGTTCTTGCTAAAAGTAAAAAATGTCGTAAAATAGGTGAGATCGATGCCAGTTATTTCAAAAATAACAAATAACAAAATTTTTTGATTTTGTATTTATTTTTATTAATTGTATTGTATTTATATTAAATGTTGTTGCCTTATAGCCAGACCAGTTTTAACGAAGGTAAATAAATTGTTGATCGATTGGTATGGGCTCTCACACTTAATAACGATCCCTGTATATACATATACATATATATATATATATATATATATATATATATATATATATATATATATATATATATATATATATATATATATATATGTAATTAGTTATCAATTTAAACACAGATATACCACTGAGTAAACATTAGTGCAAGGGTAATGTAAAAATGTAGTTTTAACATAGTCATCAAGAATAGTATAGGAATGTATATATTGGTTCGGGAGTTGGCGACGAGACACACCTCCCGAAAAATATTTCTTTCCGGGTCATTGTCCAGATCGCGTCGATCTCGATCATCTCGTTCTGGTCGTCGAGGAGCACAAAAATAATAACTGCTGCTAAAAAGTCGGTTGTGTCGAGTGGCGGATGTATTCGTATACAGGGATAACTTATCAATAATGCATGAGACCGGGGGCTTTCGTGGGGTGGC